GGCACCCGCGCGGGCAGCGCGGAGCGTCGGTTCCGGCCGTTGCTTTCCGCATTCGCTCCGCGCATCGCGTACAACAAACGCCCTAGATCTCATTTAATTCTTATCAGTAGGGAAACGGTTAGAGGTTTGTTTGGTCCTAAGAGAATACATGCCTGTTAGAATAGCGAAAGTATCCTTTGTCATGCGTGCTGGGGAAAGCCGGTAAGAGCCGTCCGTTAAAGTTACTGTGTGAACTCACGCCTTGATAGGAATAGCTGTCTATATGCACTTTACACCCAGTACCTTCTTGTTTTTAGCAACAGCTGCTGTTTCTCCGCATACCACAGGCAGCCTTTCACAGTGAGGACTGTGCTTCCCTGTACTATGACTCCATATTTTTAAGAGGTGTATTTTAAAGTCTTATTCGATGAAGATAAAATGCCTGTATAAAAATAAACATGTTATTGACTCCCACTCAGATTCTTCAATTCTTTGGATTTGGGAGCTGTATACTGAATTCAGCCAGTTGTCTAATGGATGGAATTAGCTCTTCCAGAGAAAATAATTAATTATGGCTTTTTAACTGTTTGCCCAATATTTATCTTGTTAATCGTTTATTCAAACTTACTGCAGGAACTAGAGATGCCCCGATGTAGTATAAATGCACATAGTTAAAGAGGTAGTTTTTAAACCCGCAATTTCATAGTTAATTCTGTTCACTGGAAATAAACCTAGAAGATAGGAAACAATTAAAAAAGAAGTGTCAAAACTGATATTATACCAGTGCAATTTACAATAGCCAAATAGTTGGCTAACACATAACTTCATCCCAATTCCTGAGAAATCTCTTTGTATCTTTTTTTAAAACCGCACAGTTACCTACTTTGTATAGGGCAAATGCATGGAGTAAGTTCTGTTAGTAAGTAGCCTCTCATCACCCTATCTGTATGATTTGTTTCCTTCCATATCAATGTAATCCGTGGGTAAACTGTAAGACAATGTTTATTTGCCATAAGTTTAAAACTTGAACCAACCCTGACCTTATTGAATTCAGAATTTGAAAGTGTTAACCTAGAACAAGAAGGATGTTAACATCCATAGTGAATGCTAACATGTACTGGCTCCATACAACTCATATCTAAGTCTGATGTGGGACATCTAATAGTTCAAAGTATTTGCAAATGCTTAGTACTAACCTACTGAATATTTTAAGATGTGTTTGGTCATTTCAGTCCATGTGTTAACATGCAGTTTGGAATATTGATGTACCAGCAATAAAGATGTGATGCTTATCTTGTTTTCTGAACAGAACTAATACAGTATTTTGATGTATCACAGGTAAATTTTTCCATAACCTTATGGAGAAAAAGGACTTTGAAGCATGGCTTGATAACATTTCTATTACATTTCTTTCTCTGACGGACTTGCAGAAAAATGAAACTCTGGATCACCTGATTAGCTTGAGTGGAGCAGTCCAGCTCAGGCACCTCTCCAATAATCTAGAGATTCTTCTCAAGAGGGACTTCCTCAAACTTCTTCCGCTGGAACTTAGTTTTTACCTATTAAAATGGCTCGATCCTCAGACCTTACTCACATGTTGCCTCGTCTCTAAGCAGTGGAATAAGGTTATAAGTGCCTGTACAGAGGTGTGGCAGACTGCATGTAAGAATTTAGGTTGGCAAATAGACGACTCTGTTCAGGACCCTCTACATTGGAAGAAGGTTTACCTAAAGGCTATTTTAAGGATGAAGCAACTGAAGGACCACGAAGCCTTTGAGACATCCTCTTTAATTGGACACAGTGCCAGAGTATATGCACTTTACTATAAAGATGGACTTCTGTGTACAGGTAGGAAGTTCAGAAAACTTGGAGTCTTACAATTCTTCTTTTGTCTTTTTTCCCCATGAGATTAGTGACAATTTGAGTTTCCTTAACCAGGCAAGTTATTTTCACAGTGCTGGTGATTAAGGTTTTCAAAATTACTATTTTTGCAATTTCTGAAACACCTGGCACACTAAAAAGCTAACTGGTCACTTCAATAGAAAGACCAAAGAGACTTATTTCTTTCTTTTTTTTTTCTTTTTTTTTTTTTTTTAATCAATAAAAAGGCCAACAGTGCTGCATATAATTCTTCAGAACAGTAAGCCCATTTGAGAAGTACAGATATGTTAGCTATCCTCTTAGAGGATACCTTCTTCAGATTAAAGGGACCTTGTTTGGACTATCTGATCACTGCAGCCTCCGAAACATGGCAGGAAAATTCTGTTGTCTTCTTCCCAGCATGACAATTTCTGTGGTATGATCTGTAAACTCTTTCAATTCTTAATATAATGTAAAAGCATGTATGAAGACTTGTGAACTAGATCTAGCCTTGCTACTCATCTGAATTACACATTGTAAGAATGATTTCAACTTCCTTCCTAAAAACTGCAGACTCCTAGATTACAGTTTGACTTCAGGAATACAGCCAGACCAAATATGAAACCTTAAGTAAGAAAGAATAGTGACAAAGTTACAGTGAACTGTTGCCAGAGCATATTCCAAGGAATTCCTAACTATGGCACTTGAGACAACAGTGCTATAGAATAAGCTGGGAGTACTGAGTAGTACTCCCACATTTGTGGGTACATTAAGAAGATTGTGAGAAACTAGGAACTAGTCTCCAACAAGTCTTTTGCTTCCCTAGTAGTCAGCAGGGAGTGAAAAATACTCAGGAGGTGGCATTGTCAAACCTTACTGAAAAACAGCTCGCTCTTTTATGCTGAAACCACATGTTGTAGAGAAAAACATGTGAAAGAGTCTAGGGTTTATTCTGCTCTACAAAGCAAGCAGGCTTTGAGTTATGGTTATGCATTAAAAAAAAGTGAAACTTAGGAGGAGAAAGGAAACCAGCAGGTGAAGGGGCCAGGTATTCGCCTGCTGTCCTTCCGTCTTTCTCTATAAAGAGATTTGATGGACTGTTTCCCCACCTGAAGCAAACTAAAGCTTGCATTATAGTCACTGGCTTTGCAAACCTGAGAGTGATGCATCATATAAAACTTCAAAAAACTTCAGTATGTGTTTCAGTAGATACTGTCAAGCAGACAAGAGTGCTGGAATCTGCTGAAGGTGCAAAAAGGGTGTGGGAAACTGGGAGGCCAGACACCTACTAGCTCAGCTGAGATGAGAATACACTGGCTTCAGTGTAGTGCTGAGACAAAGCAGCTTGAAAGCACTACCTAGTGAGAAAGTGCTGTATGAAAGGAAAACCAATATAAAATTGGAAATATTACTTACTCTTCATTTCCAACTATCCTACTCTTTCATATTCTAGGATCAGATGACTTATCTGCAAAACTGTGGGATGTAAGCACAGGTCAGTGCATATACGGTATCCAGACACATACTTGTGCTGCAGTGAAGTTTGATGAACAAAAACTCGTAACAGGATCTTTTGATAACACCGTAGCCTGTTGGGAATGGGGCTCTGGGGCCAAGACACAGCATTTTAGAGGACACACAGGTGCAGGTATGTTAACCTTTTCAGTTTTTAAGTTCACCAGACAAGTAACACACATTGCCATCAAACAAATCATAATTTAACTTAACTCTTTGCAGAATACCCCCCCTTTTTTTTTTTTTGTCCCAAGTCACCTTGTTGAGGGAAGTAGCCAAAACTGATGTAGACCTTTCTGCCCTTGAATAATGCCAAGGCTTAGTCATGCTAGTTAGTGTTTTGCATGTGCATAGACATAATACTACGCGCTGTGGTGTTTCAGTGTTTTGGAGTCTGACAAAAAGATGCAGATCCTAGGTAACAGGGAACACATGTCAATAGGAGTT